TAAACAGCAAAAATATCTGAATTCTTTCTGATCTGATTGGATCTGATCTGATCAAACATGTCCTTTAAAGATGCACTGTGTAACTTTTCTAGTGGAGGGTTCATCATCTGCTTCTCTCCATGGAAATGTTGCCTCGAATGTTTCACAGTATGCCAAGATTTTTCTTTTTTCTTTTTTTATCTTTACAGAGACAGCACTTGACCCCACAAAGTCATGTTACATGTCAGATCTGTAGAGAGGCAAGCCCATTCACTTTAACAAAGCAAGTGTTTAGGTCAATAAAAACCCATGGTATTGAGTAAATGCAAGATGGATATGTTTAATGCCTTGTTGGAACATTTCAGACAATGAATAACATCTCCATAGAGACAAGCAAGTGCAGACCACCATTTACCCACACAAAGTTATATTTGTAGTAATTGATGCATGTTAAATCTTTAATGAGCACTCTTTATTGCTTACTTTCAAGATACCATAATTCCATTCAATTCCTGTTTTCACTGGCATACGCTCTGTGACATACTTATTTCATTCTCCAGTTAAATTTTCTTAATTTGTGATACACATGATGTCCCATTAGGTGCTACAGTTTTCTAGAGTGAAGTCGATGGAGTTGTTTCTCCCACTAAATTGTCAAAGATTAATATTGAGATTTAAAATGTCCAAATTATGACATGATATATAATGACATGATCCACACGTGTCATCGATTGTAACTAGCAGACAAAGCCACAACATGTCTTCTTTAAAGGTCCATTCATGGTGTAACTTTTCGGTGAAGGGTCCTTCATGCCGTAGAGTGGAACATTAACCTCTCCAGTAAGATTATTTATTCCGATATTTGTGAGTCCATCAGATTGATGTGTACATATCAATCTGCTGTGAGCCAGGTAAGTGAAACATTCCAGGCAAAGCAACTACATCTCCATGGAGATTAGTAGGTAATGCACCCCCCCCTCACTCTTCTCCACCCTTTCTCTCACCTTCTCCCTCTCTCCTCGTCCTCTGTCTCTCTCCCTCCCTCTGTCTCTCATCGCACTCTCTCTGCCTCAGCACGGCGTCAGAGGATTTAAAGCTTATTTAAAGTAAATGGAGGCGCGCTGTACCAGTCTAAACAGTGACTGACTTGTGTTTGGTTCTTTTTTATGACGATGTGATCATGATGATGTAGGATCAGCCCGAGAGAGACGCCCTGAAGTCTACTACACCGGACAGGAAATACTGCAGCAAAATACAATGCGCTGAAGAAAGAGACAAATGAATGAATTAAAGCATAAACTAAGTATGTAAGGAGTTGTGCTGCTCTTGTCCAAGAACTGAATGAAAACTGTTATTTTTCTTTTATCCCATCTCTCTCTCTCTCTCTCTCTGCCCCATTTTTTCTTCTCCCCTCTCTTCAAACTCTCTCTTTTCGAGTGGCTAACTGGCTTTACTCACACCTCCCTCACTTTCTCTCCCTTTCCCTCCCTTTTAGTTCCCTCTCACCTCTTTCTCTCTCTTTCTACTCCTCTTCCTCTCCAGCTTCTTTCACTCATCTCTCTCTCTCCCTCCATTTCTACACTCACTTTCACCCTGTCTTTCCTCTCTCCCATCCCTTTCTACTCCTCTTTCACCCTCTTTCTCCCCCTTTCCGTTTCTCTCCCTCTCCTCACTTTCAACCCCCATCCCCACTGTTCTCACCCTCTCCTCTCTGTCTCTCCTCCCTCTCTCACTTTCTACTACTCTTTCCCTCTCTCCCCTCTCTCAGTCCTTTCTCCTTCTGTCTCCCCTCTCCCTCTCTATCACACTTTCTACTCCTCTTTTCCTCTTTCTCCCTGTCCCACTCTCCTCTCTGTTTGCCTCGTGTCCTCCCTCACCCTTTCTCCATCCCTCTCTTTTTCTCCCTCGCTCTCACCCCTCTCCCTGTTCTGCCCCTCCCCTCTCGCGTTCACTCTCTTTCTTTCCCTCTCTCCTCTCTCTCTCTCCCTGGTCAGAGCTGATAGGAGTAGATGAACAGAAGAATGTTAATTGTTTTGAGTCTGTTATCACATTCAGGTTATTCTTACTACTCAGATACAAACTGGACTCAGGCTGCAGAGTCCATTTAAGGTTCTCCTCCTCCCACTGTCCAAAGGCGAAAAGGTAAAACAATTTGGTCTGTCACACAAGTATATGCTGAAATGTTTCTGTTTTTATCTAATTTACAAATACTTGCTCACTGACATTGTAATATGGTAAATTCTGTTTACTCAGAAATATGCAGTCAAACATCCAATGTCAAATATACTGTATTAATGGCACTGTTAATGTTTATGAGTTTATGTTTTTCTTCTTCTCACTCCATTTCAAGCTATTATGGTGTCGTGTATGTAATTGTGTATGAGTATGTTGTATAAGAGATGTGTGATGTGTTTGGTTTTGTGTTTGTTCTGCTTTCTTCTTCTAGCCAGACTGGCGCCACCTAGTGCCTCCCCTCAATTTCATTTCTCTCCAGCAACTAGGTCAGGAATCAAAATACAATAGATGGTCCGCAAAAACCCTGGAAGTGCAAGTTCAGGCACCAGCCAATCAGCGAAGAGCCGTACATTCTGTGTTGTCAACGATTCCCGAGATCGAGGATTTAAAGCCGGAACAAAGAGAATGTTTGGTGAATTTTATCAAGTGGAAAGACGTTATTGCTCTTCTTCCTATGGGATTTGAAAAAAGCTTAATATACCAGTTAGCCCCATTAGCGGCGCATTACATATGTCATGACCAAATAATAGCGATTGGTTAAATGATAAAAAGTACTCGCCTACCGTCAAGCGAAAGAACGTTGCGAGGTCAGACGGTTTCTACGAAGTGAAACTGGCTGATGAATCAGGCTATTCTTCTCCAACCTATATAAATAAGGTAGACTTGTATTCTGTCTGGCAGCAAATCTGTAAAAATAGTAAACTAAAGGTGAAAGGCACATTTACTGTCATAAGTTTGAACCAAAATGGATGGATCAGTCAAAGGTTATTTTTATTCTCCTGCTATCCTTGAGTTGTTGTGCAGGAGTTGCAACCAGATATAAGTCCAAATATATTATTACAATGTACAGTGGCGGAGTTAGTAATTTGGGGGCCCTAGGTGAACTTGAGTTTGGGGCCCTCACTATAATTATTATTATTTTTGTTCTGTTTTAATATATTCATTGTCTGTTTTTCTCATTGTTCTTGAGACACGCACATCTCTATTTATTTGAATTATGGTGGATTAGTTAGGTAGCCTACTAGATAACCAGAACTGAAAGTAGTTTTATTTTTTGCTAGTACAATTGCATTTTTGTTTACATCCATCACATATGATTGTTATTATTTTTCTTATGATTATTGTTTCAAAGTCAAATACTCTCATTTAATGTCATATTGAGAGAAAATCAAATTGCTCTGAGGCCATTAGTAGCACTGAGCACAATTGGTTGGGGGCCCCTCCAGGTTTGAGAGCCCTAGACGGCCACCTACTGTTGCCAAATGGTAGAGCCACCTCTGACAATGTATTCAGTATACCTGATTTTGTCCATGCAGTAAAAAAATCATGTATAGTGCCTTTAATTGAAAATCGTGTATTTAGTGTCAAATACAACAGCATTAAACCTGATTGAATGTTTTGCCACTTAAATTACACCAATGACAATTTTGTGTCATTGAAGTGAATTGGTTGCATGGTTATTTTTGAGGTTACGACCTGAGGCATTTCAGAAGCCTTGAGCTATTCAGCCTATTTGTTATGATTATTTGTTAAAGGTGCACTGTGTAACTTTTCTAGAAGGGTCTGCTGCCTGTTTGTCTCTATAAACATGTTAATGCCATCCTTCCATTTTCTTCTGCTCAGGTATTAAACTAAACCATCTTGTATTTATTCTACTACAGGCATTATTTATAGCTCAGAAATATCTTAAAAATCATTCATTCTTAGTGTGAGTGGGGTCACCTCTCCTCAAATCTAACCTGTAATTTGGGTTCATTGGTCTCTATGGAGATTCTTAAGTTTATGGCTATACTGTGGAACATTCTAGGCACATCTCCATGGATACAAGGAGATTTTTAATTATTTTTTTTTTTTTTTTATCACGCAGGTTCAGGTCTCCCTCTGAAAATATCAACAGGCGGTATGCCATGCAGCTAAAGTTATGCTTTAGCAGCTATTGTTTTTAGCCTCATTTGAACTGTTTCAATTCAACAATATTTACCACAGGAACTATCCTATTAAAAACAAACAAACAAAAATCTTACCTTTATGCATGCATTTTTTTGTACTTTTGAGGGGCTGATACAATTCATCCAAATTATCTTTATAGTAACTTAAAAGTACCATTAGTTAAAGGTGCATTGTGTAACTTTTCTGGTGGAGAGCCTGTCAAATGCTTTTTTCCATAAAGATGTTATGGCTTTGTCTGGAATGTTTCACAGTATGGTATTAAACTTGAATCTTCATGGAGACCAAACCAGACCAATTTACTGGACAGATCTGCAGAGGGGCGACCCCACTCAGTCAGAATGGCTGTTTTTCTAGATATTATTGAGCTATAAATCCACCTGTAATTTAGTACATGTAAGGCAGAGCTGTTTAATGTCATAGTGTGGAACATTCCAGGCAGAACAATGACATATCCAATAGAAACAAGCGGGTGACGTACCCTCAAACAAAAAGTTACATAGGGCACCATTAAGTTTCAAACCTTTAGCTACAGTCCACACTAATAGCGCCACTTCTTAATTCTTCAGTTCTTTTCATTACAAACTCCATTCAGTTCCCTGCTCTCTCTTCCGCCTCCTACCTCCTAACTCCTCCCTCGTCTCCGCTAACCTTCTCCCCTCTGCCCCATTCTAATGTCCCACCATTCACTGCTTCGACCCGGGACCCCACACACCCCCAGCGCATGCTACCATTTGGACAGTTTACTCCAAAATCAACTAAATACAAGCTTTTGAGGAACATTTTATTTATCCTAAGATCGTCCAGAGATATTTGGCTTACATCAGTGCAACTTCCAAGTCCTCAAGTAAGTTATTTTTTGGACAATATTCAAATTTCTGGGAATAATTAAAAAGAAAGGAACCACATAAGATGTAAGAGTTGACACGAGTATCTTCTGAAGAAGTTTGGGATATTTCTGAAAGATTTTTTGCAGTGAATCGTGAATTTAGCCAACGTCAACAAAAGAACTTGGACTACGTCTTGCTGAGTCGTAAAGGACAATTCAAACAAGCTTCGATTTTGAAACCTCAAATTTGAATTTTTGTAAAACTGTTTCACAATATTTGAATTCAAAGAGATTTGCATTTGAAGTTGGCATTATCATTCGCGCTTGAAAACAGACATCTGATAAGTGCTCTGTTGAAAATAGACTCCCAAAACATAGTTGTCCTTAACACTATAAGTAAGGCACTGCATTTTGACCAGTTCTGGGCAATTTCTCTTGAATTTCTTTCCATTTTTTACAGGAGCATCCAAAATTCCAATTTACATTTTATCTTATGGGACACATTACTTTACTGTATGGTGTTTTCTTACTTTAACTATTATTGCAGACTTTAATTAGTTAGTCTGCATAGAGTGGGCATTTTTGAAACAGCTAAATTTATCTAAATGTATTTTGCAAGCTGGGGCTATATGTTCAGTTGAAATTATTTGATTATTTGTGGGATCATTTGCCAAAGCTAATATTTTCAATATAGAAAACACAACCATACACTATACCTTTATTAAATGCAACTGTTTACATATAGCAATTTCAAACATTTGATTCCTGTCTCCTGAGTTTAAACTGTATGTTGTAATGTTTGGCTGCATCAGGGCTTCAGAGTCAAAAATTGCAACTAGTTTTTCAAGTATTATTTTATCAATAATTGTTTATTAAAGGCTTAAAGTGGATGTTTTACATGAAAGATTAGAGAGATTAGAAAAAGCTTTTGGAATAACGACTAAAGAAAACATTTTATTAACTCTGTGAGTGTAAAAGTCATTCAATGCAAAATGATATAAATTCAAGTAGTGTCTCTTTTTGATTTCTATCAGTATAAATTGATCTTATCCAGACACTTCACACCATATTAGATAAATGAAATATGGTTTAAATGTGTTTTTGATTTACCATGGTAGCAAAGTATTTATGTTAAATCTACAAACAAAGTGATATAGGACTTGTATTCCCCATGGCAACAAACAAGCAGAAAACCAGACCAAGTGCAGTGTAAACCAGGCACTCACATTGTTAACACTTGGTCTATAGATTGTATATAATTGTACTGCATTAGCTCTCCAGTCTTTTGCTCACGGTTTTACATCTTTTTATATTGTTGTAAACTGATCTAATTTGAACGTAAATACTAATCAATGTGATTTAGTTTTACTGTTGTTTAAAACAATTGCATTGTATTTGTAACTCGCACGCACGCATGTAATTTAGCTTAGACCAGAAGAACAACATGAGTAGCCCACGCTAAGTGCATTTTAATAGCACTTTTTAATTGCGTGATTCATTGCCCTGACCGCATGGCTTCAACTTTACGCACACACTTTTATTGAATCTTTCAAAATCAAATATAATAAATTAACTAATTCTGGCCTTGTCGCTGACGCTGTAACCTTGGTGCATACCCGAGAATTTTGTTTTTCTCTAAAAAGGATGGGATTTGGGGCATCTTTTCATTTTTGACCAACTTGACAACTTTTTAATTAAGTTCTCTCTAAATATTTTCACAGTTTAAATTAGTTTTGAACCGTATAGGTTATTTTGGAGAAAAAAAGGGCTACCCCTCCTTTTTTTTCTTTCTTACATTTTTGCTACTTTTGGGCAATTTCTGTGCAAACCCACAGTTGTTCAATGGTCCAAAAAGAACACTGAATTTTGTCAACTAGACAAAGTTTTTGAGACTGTACAATGACCAACGGAACAACTTTTTAAATCCCTTGTCTTGGAAAGATTTGGACAGAATTTAAAAGACTTGGTATTATTTGAGTTGGCTTTTACGTAAGCTCTTTTGGAGTGCCCCCTCTCTGGATCTTGATGACCAAACCGCTGTTAGACCCGAGTTTCCTTTGGGACATGGAGGACGTGGGGCTGCAGAGCGCGTCCACGCCGTTCTCCGTAAAAGACATCCTTAAATTAGAGCAACAACAACAGCAGCAGCAGCAGCAAAGATGTTACCCCTGCGCGCACCCGCCACCGACACTCTGCGCGCCCCCGATACTCACAGGAGGGCCCCATGACATGGACGCGCCCGAGGACAACCTGGCCTACCTCAGCGCGCTCACGAGGGGTCACGAGGGCGAGCAGGAGCCGCGGGATCTATTCACCGCAACATCAGCAGCAGCAGCGGGAAGGAAGGAGGAGGCACGCGGCGACATGGACGAGCACGACCCCGGTGAGTATAACGACACGGTTGACAGAGCAAAGATAAGTTCTTTAGCTTATTCATATAAATTAAGAAACCATGTAATCACCTATTTAATAAAAACTAAGACCAAGGTGCACAATAGTGCAATAGGCTACTTTGAATTTGAAACTATTAACCAACCAAGTTTTGAAACTAAAATCAACCAGGGTGATGTTTAGCTCATTGCATTTTAAAATCACAAATTCTTCAAAAGACACAACAGTAAAATAACTGATGAAATCAGCAAATGCCGTACGAGCTTGAAATAAAATAGTCAATCCACTTAAATCAGGTAAGCTATAACCTATTGACTACCGTGATTTTAATTTAGGACGGAAATGAAAGTGAAAACTGACGCCAATTTAGCGCGTTACGCATCAAAAAGTATTTTGTAATCATAAATAATAGGACATGGTTTCAGACTGGAAATGGAGTGGCCTACTACATTAGGCTGTTACTTGTATTTATCGAAACTAGCCCATAGGTTACAGCAGGAGTAGATGCATAGCCTATATGTGAACGAATGGCCTGAGATACCGTGGGCTTGGGTGGAGTTGGGTAAAGTTTACGTTTAAGTTCAAATCAAGTCCTGCAGAAGATATAGGCTTCTTGTTAATTACACAAACAGCAAAAGTTATAGATTACATGGGTTACATAGGTGCAAGACATTTAATGCATATTTATTATTATGAATAGACAAATAACAGAGAAAATGAACAATGTTTACGACGTTACAATTTAGACATTTTTATTAAAAAATATGTAATATAAAGCATTTCGTTTTATTTCATCAGTCATTTAGGTCTAGTTCAGCTCAGTCTGCTGTATAAGGCGCTAAACGGAATAAAGATGCTAACTTCCGCTGACAAACACTGTCCCTGTCATGGGCATTTGAACGCCTGTAGGAATATCTCTGAATAAAGAAGACAAGCATTTTGTTTTGGGTTGACAGAAAAGTCACGTTGTACAGACCTGTACACAAAAATAATTTAGTTAGGCTTAATTGATGCGCTTGATTAAATATACCACACAATTAATTCCCATCTCTGTCAACAAGCTCACAGCTTGGCGCGTCATAACCAAACGTGTCCAAACTGGATTAATCATCAGACTGTAATAGCCTTTCTCATCTCCTGCATGTGTAAGACTTTATTGACTGACTATCTATAAATGTGTTTATATTCATTAAAAGAAAAGAAAAAAATAAATAAATAAAAATCTTGCTAAGTTTTAAAGCTGAGATTGTTGGGTGACCGAGGGGCGTTGCAGACATAGTTCAAACTTTTGAATAAACACGGTAAAGTTTTATAAGCATCATGCTCGAATGTATAAATTGGAAGTAAAATACAAACAAGAAGAGTGCGGTTTTAAAATAATAAGAGGGGCATCGACTACTTTTATGCACCGCGAGCTATTCGGTTTGGTTTGAGAACTATACAATGAAATGATGAAAAATCGATCAAACTAAATATGAATAAGATGTTACTAAGGCCGATTTGACAAAAACGAGTCTTAATCTAATCAAACTAAATCATCTCCCTTAATTGAAACTCAAGCGGACAGTGTGCGTAATGTGCCGCCATATTATGAACAATTACAGACTCCTTATGGACTCCAACACAAGGACATAATTATTAGGAACGATGCTTAATGGTTCATGCTGAGAGTTTGATGACGGAAACGGTGCGTAATAACCCTTAATTAATAGGATACACAATTAGCCTTTTCTATTGTAGTGGGGAAAGTACACCAAAAGAAAATGTAAAGTACACTATTGTTAGATTTAGATGCAATAATAAATCATGTACTAAATTCACAGTTTGATCCTACTGAAAAGGAAACATTCGGTGGGTGTGTACAAAAGAGAGTTTTCACAAATTTTCTCACGTTGGTTTTTCATTTGAATAAACCCTTGACCGCCATTTAATATGCATTTTTTTACAGTTTGGAGTTATATATCCTGTAATCTCAAAATGAAATGAATTAAAGGTCGGAAAAAATAACTATAAAAAGTTTTGGAATATAATAATAAGAAGAAATAAAAAGAAATATATGGCACAAACATTTTCATTTTAATACCTGAGAAAAAATGTAATGAAAAATAGTATACCATCACCACATGTAGCAGTATATTACGCGCAACTAAATTCGCACACTGTATTGATTATCTTTGGAATGAATGAATGAAAAATACATATTCAAGAGTAAATATAATTCCTACTGGCGTATGTAGTTCATGTTGTCTCGGTGAAGAAAACATTGCCCATCACATGGCTTTCATGCGCTTTAAGACTAAAACTAAAGCGTTCATTTGTAAAACAGACACACGTTTGAAAAAGACATTGGTCGCTTGTAATTTATTCTTTGTATAGTAATATTTTCAAAAGCCATATGTATTTTACTGCTATCAAAATATTAGGCAAGACAAGTTTATTTGTGTAGTATAATTCGGACACAAAGCAATTCACAGTATTCCTCCCGTTTTTGATAAAATTGGCCATACATTATTGTAATTGTAATAATACCTCTAGAAGATGGTAACACGGAAAGAAAAAAAAGTTTGGGCAGTTTTTCAAAACGGAGATATGTTTTTGCTATTGAACTCTTCAATTGTTGTGTGTGTGTGTGTGTGTGTGTGAGTGTGTGTGTGTGTGTGTGTGTGTGGGGGGGGGGGGTGTATGTGTGCGTGCGTGTGTGAGTACGTATTTCTTTTAGTGGCTGAGGACTAATATACGCATAACAAAAACTAAACGGTGCGTTATGAAGTCATTCATGTTACGACCTCAATAAAAAATGTGTAGTTGGCTCACGGGCGTAAACTGCGCTATAAATCTGTCGCGTTGGTTTAACTGAGCCTAAATGGAGATGTCTGGCACCTGTCTTTGAGGAGTGTTATTGACAGAATGAATGTAACTTTATACCTGCAATTTGATTTTCAAGTATTCTACAAATACAATACAAAATGTATGCCACACCAATGGGAAGTGAAAGGGTTTAGGCCTCCTTATTTAGAAGAGCCAAACATATATTTACAGGGACTTGGAGCTAAGACAAGAGTTCTGGAGTAACGAGGTCTTAGTTTGTATTTGTTTAGCAACAGAAGAGAAGTCTGGAGTGATTTAGTGCCACTGCGTAAAGAACACGTGTCAAACGCAGGTGATTTAAGGCGGTGACACGCGCAAAGTGGCGCCAGTGAAGAGTCGCGAGACAATAGCGCGTCTGAGCCGGACCAGGAACTGAGTCCAGACTGGTCTGTCACGTGATGAAATACAACATGGAATGGCAGAGTCTATAACCACGTTATACTGTAAAACCACATCTCAAGGTGCTGGCTAATGAAATGTGCCACAGAATTGACCACAAACCAAACCCGTGTGCAGGAAGACAGTTGCTGTATTCTTAAAATTTTTGTTCCATTATTCAATTATTCAGTCAATTAGCTATATTTACGTGTTTATGTATCTGTGTTCACAGAGGGTCTCGTAGTGATGAGAGAGGACACTTCGGAGTCCACGCGCGCTGAAGGGGAGCGGCGTGCGCAGAAACCCCGGAGTCGGAGGAGGCCCCGTGTGCTTTTTTCTCAAGCGCAGGTGCTGGAGCTCGAGAGGCGCTTCAAACAGCAGCGGTACCTGTCCGCTCCGGAGCGAGAGGCCCTCGCGGCTACACTGCGGCTCACGTCCAACCAGGTCAAGATCTGGTTCCAAAACCGGCGCTACAAGTGCAAGAGGCAGCGACAGGACCGAACCCTAGAGCACGCGCCCCCTCCACCTCGTCGCGTGGCAGTGCCAGTGCTCGTGCGCGACGGGAAACCGTGCATCGGAGGTGCACAAAGTTATTCGGGCCCCGGGTACGCGCCCGGATACAGCTACAGCGGCTACGGCGCATACTCGTACAGTGCGCCCGCGTGCACGAGCAATTACAGTTGTACGTACAGTGGACTGCACACGCTGCCGTCAAACAACGGCTCCTTCACGAGCGCCAACCTGGGATCCACGCAGGCGCAGACGCAGGTCCCATGGGCGCGTGCCAGGGCATTCGTGCGTGGTAACAAACCACGTGACCACTAAACTGGATCTACCTGGACCTCTGGGTCTGCTGTCGCTTCACGTGGGACCAAAGCCTCGGTTCAGTCTAGACTCAGGACTCTGTGGAGTCTAGAACCTGAATTGCTTTAACTTGATTATTATTATTTTTTTTAATAAAAGTTTCCAAATAAATGCGCACAGATCAGAGCCTCCCGCTGCGTCTTCTTCAGCCGCGCGCTTTGGTCCAGTTTTATTTGGCTTTAAATGATTCAAATGTATTAATGAGTGTTAATGGAGTTATTAGCCTATGTGTTACGTTATTCAGCTTAACAATTTGACCATGCCTTTACAATGTATTGATAATGGGGGTAATAATTGACACATTTTAAATAAAAAATAAACATTTGTAAAAGCCAGCATATGTCGCCCATACATTTTGCACCAGCATACACACAATTCCGATCAGGGTTTCTTACATTGGTCAAAGCTACCATGTTATAACAAACGGCACATAAGATATAGCCTCGGACTCGGTGATAATTATAATGTGCAATTTGCAAACGACATTCAGCGCCGGTGAAACTGGTGTGGATACGGCTCTTGTTCCAGAGTCCTGGACTACAGCTGCGTATGGAGCTGAGGGGACCTCCGCTGTTCGTAAACGCGGGCTCGGGTCTTTGGGCCGAGTGACGCTTTTGTCCCGCTGCCACGGGCCACAATGAGGCGCGCGCTGTCCCACGGAGATCCCCAGAGGAGCGCGAGACGACCCCGGGAGCGCGCACACGGCACAAAGGCGCACAGGGACCGCCAGATTGACGTCCTAATATTCCCCATTAAGAGGCACAGAGGAGGCTCGCGCTGCAAAAATGTGCGCGTTTTTGTTCCCGCCGCGGAGCCTGTGGAGCGCGCGGACAGCGGGGGCTCGTGTAGAGAACAAGCCCCACCAATGGCAACAAGTTTCCGCTTTTGTTTCCGGAACGAGCGGGAGGAGGGGGCCTTTCTTTCTGCCAAGAGGGTCATTCACCTCCAGCCTGGACACAAAGCACTCACCCAGCATCTCATCAGAACAGGCGAGATCTGGACCCACGTGAATGTGGAGGGGTTTACTTTCAAATAATATTAGTCAAGTGCAAGTGAAAAGTGATGTCAACAAAAAACATGAACATCAATGCACTTTTCTGTCATTTAATCAGCATTAAAATAATGCTATTGGCTACTGACGGTTTTTAGATTACAATGCAGTGCTGTTCCAATCGAATAGGGTCGGATAGCCTCAGTGACATCACTTTCTTCAGCGAAATAGTCATATTTAGTTTAGAGGCAGTTTTTTCTTCTAATAGTGAGTTCTTGGGTCTAGTATTCAACCATCAGCTCCAGTATTTATGAAGGAACCTTTTGGACTACTACTCAACTGAAAACTACCAGTATTTCTAAATATCACCAAGGAAAACCCATAAACTTCGAATCAGTGTAACATTATCCCAATATATGTCCCATCACAAAACCTGCAGATTCCTGATGGTCATTTTACTTGCTCCATCTCACTTGAAATCCATTCTGCGTGTCCACTGAGTAATTCGCTTTCCTCCAGATTTATTTGTGGATGAAAACTGAGAAAGTCACTGCTAGTTTGTGGTTTGAATGACAATACTAGACTAAAATTGTAGGCCACCATTTTGGCGACATTCATGCTTTGTAGTTAGGTGTGTCATGATAAATGACTTATTGTTCAATATGTTAGCAGGAACTATACTTTGGGGTTCAATATTTATCATGTGTACAAGTTCTTTGTATTTTGTATATATATATATTTTTTTTCTGCACTGCAATAATATTTGAGCTGTACAAGATTAATTATTAAACTAATGCTGAAAGTTTCTAAACAAAAAAAAATGTAAATAAACTAATGAAATTGAAATGACATGTGTAAATAACGAAAAAACATAACTGAATGAAACGAAACACAACTCCAGGTATGATTTTAATGAGAAAAAAACTTTATAACGTAGATCATAAAATACCACAATATGGGCCTTTAAAGAGTTACAGCTATTTGTTTATTGCACCTCATGCTTTTTTAATATTCAGTGTTGTACTTTTAGAATAGTTTTTTTTTTTTTTTTGGGGGGGGGGGGGGGGTTAGGTTCAATATTATCTTTAATCCTTTACATTTTATTCAGCTATATATCGTACTTTAAAATTTGTTATCATAACAGGCCTGTTTGTAATTGCGATTGTATTTTGTGAATTTTATGTTTTACACCAAGAAAGGAAAAATGCAATACCTTGATTCACCTCACAAAATAATCCAAAGGTGCAGTTAATGGTTAAAGGTGTACTGTGTAACTTTTCTAGTGGAGGGTTTGCCACAGTCTTGTCTTCGAGTAAAGATGATATTATTTTGCCTTGAATGTCTACACATACTAAGTATAAGCAAAGCAATGATGTCTTTTAGGAGACCAGAAAGAGGCAAAACCTCCAAAAAGAAAGAAAAAGTTACATAGTGCATCTTTAACCATCACATGGACCCCTCAGCTGTTCATTTGATAAAAAGTTATGTCCACAACAGGCCTCGTTTCCATTTATCCATGTTTTTGAATACCGTGGCGTTGTTAAGAGCTTCTGGAGGAGGTTGTATTCATGTGTAAATGAAATGTCAAAACACACTCACACGCTCCTCTGTGGCATGTCTGATTGGCTGATCGTAGGACGAAAGCCCCGCCCACAAAGGCAGGTTTAAACAATGTACTTTAGATTCCCGTTGAAACTCCTGCGTGCATGGAAATTATGGTGGTAATTATTGTAGTCTCATTCTTTGTTCAAACTTTTTTGTAATTAGTCATACACCGTATAAGGTAGCCAGTCCGTATAATGTGACCACTGTTTGGATTTTAAAACATCACGGAAAATTTCCTGGATTACCACTTTATGACATCATGCAGTGGGACCAAGTCTTTGAGAATGGGCTCCCTCAAGTGGTATAATTTTTATGGGAGTTATTTTCTAAACTAACTCTAATCCACACAATTTTGCACATTCATTTTTAAAGACAAATGGTTTGTTTTACCTTGACATGTTTCAGTGAGCATTTGTCATTTCATCAGACTGCTGTGACATGTCACATGATCCTGGCAACATCTATAAAAAAAGAACACACAACGTTATCTAAAAGAAGACATCTTGAATTTCACTCATGGGTCTAATCCACAAACATTGGATTATGTTATGCACTGCCTCAATGGCACCACTTACATCAGATGCAGTCAGATGATCTAGATACATTTAGGTCATCACCCTACTGGTGGGTTTCAGATGACTCATCGCATTCTATTGGACAATATTCATTAACACAGAAGGGGGGTAACTAAAGTAAATATTGTTAAAATGCTAAATTATGTTGTAATACTGTGAGTTCTTGGGTTTACTCAATAATTGAAAATACCAGGTTTAACATTTATGAATTTACCTTTTGGATATTTCAAGTACAATGTCATCAACAGGGAAATCTGGCCCAGCAGAGGGTGACATCACTGAAACAGTGCGAGTGCCACAAAACACGAAAACATGCCTGAGTCTTGGTGAGAAAATCATAAATTCTCACCAAATGTGTGTGTGCACTGTCCCATATTTAAGAAATAAACATAAACATATTTCCAGTGCATAATACTAATCTAACATGAGCCAAACTAATGCATTACACAAAGAGACGATAAAATGTGATCGAAGCGCAGACAAGTGAAACAAATGCAGAAAAAGCGGACGATAAACCAAAAGTAGTTTTGTATTTACACTAGTTTTAGCCACATTTTGCAGAGTCACAAACTACATCTTGGAATTACTAAACCTAATTTTGTGAATTACTAAAATCAACCTTATGATTAAAGCATAATTCAGATATGATTTAAATTTTATTTATAAAAAAAAAAACATGAGTTATGTTTGGGTGATGTCAGTGTCTCACGAAGTGGAGCTCTGAATGGAGCATGGAATTACTACTGGGCTGGAGGGAACCGCACCAAACAGACTTGCTCCAAAACAGACCCAAGTGAACCGTGACAATGGAAAAGAGGCTAACCAGACACAAGTAATGTAGCTCAGCCATCTAACAATGAATGGTAGCTTTATTATCGACAAGTTGAACTAAAACAACTGGACTTAGTTTTTAGAAGCTGGCATTTCAATACCTATCCGGTATCTTCGTCAGAACTTGTGTTCATGATTGTGACTCCCATTAGATGTAGAGGTGGATGGTGACATTTTACCACATCACCAAAAAAGTCCTGAGGCATCCTTCAGTAGCTTTAAGTGGTACTTTGTAGAAATAAATTGAGAAGAAAACTACAAAAATATTGTTCTAAAACAGAATACCTCTACGTATGTCATTAACACCAAAACTTCTATATCCAAATGCAAGGACTTTTAACAAAATAAATGCATTTTCAATCATTTTAATAATGGTCATAACATAATCACACTTATTGCCAAATTTGACTGAGTTTGGTAACATTATGGTTGCTAGGTAGCAGATATATAATGACCTCTACTTATGTCATATCAGCTGAACTTGAACTTCACTAAAATGTTTTAAATGTGCTCTTGGGCTTTGTCTGTTTTTTCAGTTTCAGTGCCATGGGTAACCTGTCAGGAGCACTGGGTGACCACTGTACAATTTGCCTAGATCTGAGGAGGAGGATTTTGATGTTTTAAGTTGGATTATGGGGGAAATTAGAACTTCAAGATGCTAACTTCAGAGGGTAGAATTTTCTTGCGAGAGTGCAAATCACAGTACTGTGCTACTTAACTATAGTCATTAACTGCGTATATGTGCGGCAATTACCTACATTTTCTTATTGGTACTTTTCAGATTCAAAAAAATGTGATGTCATATTCCAAAACTGTGGACAAGAGACACTTTTTTTCTATTAAGAACGTCGTAGTTTGCTATGAATTATTCAGTGGGTAAATTCACAAATGTTGAACCTGATCATTTTTATTAGTGACAAGATTCAGGAACTCACTATCAACAGAAATCAGCATTTTAAAATGATTTTATCTGTCCTCCTACTGTACTGTAATCATATGGGCTTGTAATAATGCTACCTAAAACTCAGCAATAGCATATATTAAGCTACAGGTAAATATTAAGAAATGGTGAAGTTATGTGGTTTACTAATGAATACTTTTGTATATATACTATGGTTGTCAAAAGTATTGAAAATCAGGCACTAATCAATATTCATATTCATTCATAAGGGAGTATCAATACTAAAAATATTACTTAAAAGTCCAATATTGCGCAAATTAACTTGTGAGCTTTAAGCCATATTATAATGTTGTTTATAATATGGAATTGTGTTTTTTTTTTTCATTTGCAAATATTTTGAGATGTAGACAGACTAATAAGAAAAGGTCACTCAAAGCTCAAAATGCTCTGTTCCACCTTGTGATGTCATGTAGAGGTAGTTTTCAAGTTAACAGCTACCTTTTACCTTAAATTCAGAAGAGATTAGCAATTCCAAGGCTAAAATCATCCAAACGATTCTGATGAGGAAACAACCTTGTAACATTGTAGAATGTAATGTATTGTGGGCCCTTTAAACCGGACAATGAGTTTAACAGTATCTTTATGAAAACTAGGACACAACTATATGGTAATTATTATTTTGTGTTGAAGAATACATTCATTTGTCTAAAAAGGGCCTTATTATTATTTTTATCGTAGTAATTAGAATTGAGTATTGAGCCACTTCCTTAGTATTAAAATCGCACACAATACACTATATTACTTCATACATATTATTAACAGTGCATTTAAATCATGGGTGCAGGTTTTTCCCACCTCTCTCCAGGCTCTGTCCTTAGTAAACTCGAGTCCGCTGCTCTCATCCTGTCTGGGTCTGGGTCTCGTCTTCCCACGGCTCTGTACAGGAAGTCCATAAATCAGACACTTTCACCAAACATGCATCAGCCTAATCTCCTCTCACACTCACCTGTGCAGTCTCACCAGGAGGACCTCTCATTAACACACTTTCTCACAACACAATCATGCAATCAAGTGCAGTCTAGGTTTGATAATGGTGTATTACTGAATATGGTATTTTTTAAAGGTCATATATTATGAAAAATGGACACTTATGAGCTTTAAGCCATGCTAGAAAGCTCAAAAATATACTTGAAGTAATCCTTTAATTGAATTATTAGTCCACGTGTCTACCATCTGGATCTTCCAAAGCTCCAAATGCTCTCTTCCACTGACTGACAATTCCATGGCTGAAATTATCCAAATGACTCTAGTGAAGGTGTGTGGAGTTTAAAAACACAGTGAAGCACTTCCTTTTTTTAACCAAATGACATCACAAGGTGGGACAGAGTGTTTTCAGTTTGAGAAAAGAACTAAATATGTAGGGTTTGTGTGGTAAACATGTGTGAATGAAACAAAACATAACTCCTGGTACATTATAACATTATAAAATAGTAAACTTTTAAAGGGCACCTTTTAAAGGGAAACGTTGCATAGTGTAATATACATGATGGCATTAAACTTTATCTTGCATGTATTCACTTACAGGAAAAGCATGCATTCTTACTGTGAGTGGGCTCACCTCTCCACAGATCTGACCTACAACTTGGTCTAGTGGCATACTTGTCTATGAAGATTGATATGTTTAATGCCATTCTGTGGAATGTTCCAGACAAAGCAATAACTTTGCTATGGATACAAGCAGGTGACTGACCCTCCACCAGAAAAAAAAATGCATAGTGGACCTTTAAAGTATGATTGGGAAACTTACCTTAATGCAGTTAAAGGTTTCATAAGATCATATAGCAAACATGTTATGTGCAGGCTGTGGGAAATAAATAGAATACTCAGGCCAGAAAACAAGTAAATCCTAAAGAACCCAGAACCTTCTCACTGTGTTAGAAGGCTGTGTGAGAGCTAACCCTATGAGCAATGCCGACCAGATGTTGTTGAGATTTCCAGTCTCATCAGAATCATTACATAAAGATAAGGCTACATGTTACACTTTAGTATTTAGCAATAATCTAAGATATCTACCGTAAAGCACGTCTCTTTCTGAATTAATAGGCTGGTCCTCTTCATTGTTGAAAAATGGCTGTGTGACATCATTTATTTTGATAGGCTGTAACAGGGAGCCTACACAGAGCAGTGCGCGGGGATAGGGGATACAGGTGAAGATACGTTTTCTAATCACTCAAACTTTGAATTCAGAACCTCATTATACACCTTTATATTATGAGCTAAACTCATAAAAGTCGTTTGGTCCTTTAATTGAAAACGGAACATAGTTAGTCGTGGACATGAGGGAAGTTGAAAAGTTGTAAGAAGCGTGTTTATCTTGTTTGCCTAATCTATTCAGGCCTGTCAGGAAGGCACCCCGAACGCCCAGTGGGGTAAAACATATCCGGGACGGACCTTGGATTTGACCCGCGTCGTGTGCGTCGTGTGCGCGGCAGACGAGCGGTGACCTCCCGGCATGTGCCCGACAGCGCGGATCAGTTAACGCCAGGCCACGGGCAAGACAAACGCGGCGGAGAAGAGGGTCAGAGGCCATGGAGGTAACAGGAGACGTCAGTGACAGAGTCTGAGCTTGTACGCCGCAGGGAGCGTCAAGACGTGTAATGGAAACTGGAGACATGGCTCCAGGCGAGACGAGGAGGGAACCTGGAAAACTAAGTGTCATTCATCAGGATACAATGCAGGCCTACATGAGAGATTAGAGAGTGCCTGTAATCAGGAATGTATAAAAATGTACCACGAGCCAACTACATTAATTTACAAAAAAAAAAAAAAAAAAAAAAACAAACAGTCTGCCTATATGCGACCTTGGCCCTTCGACCACCATATTCACACTAGGCAATGTTTCCACTACAGAGCCACTGCTGCCCCATTGTGAAACCTGGTAATCCCAGGGTCCCCCATCCAAGTACTAACCAGGCCCGCCCGGCCTTGCTTAGCTTGAGATCAGACATAAAACTGAAAAAAAATCTTCCTCTTCTTTAACAAACCTATTGCAGCTATCACCTCTGCGTATATTTACTAAATATATTTACGGTCCGCCTCTGCACATACTACAGCAGATAAATCTGGAAACCTGTTCTGAAAATGTCTGCATCCCTTTTCCTCATACAACCACTGAGACAGATGATGTAAAATAAAGACAAATACGGTTTTATATTTTATTTTTGTTTAATTTATTTCTCTCAGCGCTTGGAGTCAGCACCAAGAGAAGACCCTGCTTCTGCGAGGAGCTGCCATAAACTTTATATTTACACAATTCACACAGTTCATGTTTAGAGTCCACACATCATCCTCTCTGTTCCAGTCTTTGGCTTCAAAGCAATGAAACAAAGGACCATCTACAAGTCAGAAAAACATTTTCACAATTTTCACACAATTCTCCACACTACGATTCCATTGCTTCTAAAGTAATGCTCTTAAATATATTTGTATTAGGTGGCCATAGGTCTTTGAAATGTGTTGCTTAGCCCAGAGGAGGAAAGTAACTAAATTCAATAACAAATTCCTTGCAGTAAAAAACTAAATGCCCCAATATTTAGTACAAATTTCTGTGCACACAAAATCACAATTGTTGCAGTAGAGAGCACAAGAACTAAAGTAAAGCAGTTTAAAGTTAAATTCGATAGTGGTTAGTTATCAATTATTCATAAGTTGTTGTAGTTAAGTAGTAGTAGAAAATGCACTTTTTGCTCTTTCAGTAGTAATTTACTTTATAGAGGCATATCATTTTGAACTTACTGTAGGTTACTTTTAACTAAATACAGATCCTTGTTCTGGCTCTTTCCACCCTGGACTAAGTTGTATTAATTTAATGACCGCTGTAGTAGTTGCTGTTGTAGTATTTTGTGCGTTGGAAGCATGGCGGCTGGTCAAGGCATTACCTGAATCACTTCTTTAACTGACCATTCAAAAATACACCATTTTAAGTGCTAGCAACTTTAATAAAATAAATGAATGCAAATTTCACTTTTAGGATCTAATGAGAAAAATAAATATAACCTAAATTTTAATGGGACTTTTGTTTATTTTTATTTTTTTTTACAAGTCTAATATTGGTCTGAAATAATATATGTAGATTCTATATTACTGAGGCACTTGAGCTATTGGCAAACATGTGCGTTGAAAACATAATGCTAAATATCTAGTATCTATTATTAACCAAGTAGATCATTCCCTACACTAGTCAAATGACCTATGTAAAACTTCCTCTCTGACAATCTTTCATTTGTTTGAGTAGGGCTCCCTCTGGTGGTGAAGGGTACTGACAAACTTGTTTCCAAATCTGAATATTTTGTAACATCATAAGAATTGAATAAAATGGCATTAGAATTTTGCTGTCCCTTTGAAAATAGTATTAATGTAATCAGTTTGTAATCAGTTGATAAAGTGCTGGACTATGATCTTCAAGGGTAATAATATTAATGTTTGGATGTAGGTAAAACAGCCTTTTCCTTCTTTTTGGTTCTTTTAATTGCATTTTTTCTGCAAATATATACTTTTAAAGATCACAAACCTTTAAGCTTAAAGTAGCATTGCTGTTTTGAAGCAAATGGTTGTATATTCAATATTCATTTATATTTAATGCCAGTTTCAGCACATTTTATACAGGGAGAACACGATCAGCCTCATTTTAGAATATTTGAAATGTACCCAAACATACTTCTATAAAATCATAAATTGAGTACTAAAACCTGTCATAAAAGCTCTTAAACTATGTAGGTTGGCCACTGGTAATATGTGACAATCTAATTATGGATGAAAGCTTTAAAGCCTGTTATCTCTTGTTCATTAAATATTTAGTTTCTTTCCCTGTTCTAAATTTGACTAATGTTTCATGTTGAACCTACATCAAAACTTCCCTTATCATTTCAAAAAAACCAAAACAACAGCTTCCATTTTGCCATTGCATTATTTCAATACTTTCCTGGTGACTCCCTGGTTTATTTTCACTTGAGTAGCCTCTCATGTTGCCTTTTGGTGATGATATATTTGAAAAACTCATACACGGACCAGCTGATTGCCGTGGAGGGCATCTGGTAGATCACTCTCGCTTGGACTCCTTTAAAGAACGCCGCTGCTCCTCCGGTTCTGTAAACAGTCCGAAACGCTTTCCCTAGTCCCGAAATGTGTCTCCCGCCAACCGTGCCCGCCCCCTCTGCTTGGATCATCACCACTTGGGCTTCCTGGGTGTTTAGAAGGGTTTTGCAGACGTCTAAAGGTGTGGTAGCTGCAGCGGCTAATGCTCCAGCTAGTGCACCGGACACAACGTGGGAGGTGGGGTTGTATTGTCTGTGCGGATTGAGGGTTTCCTGGAGGGATTCGTAGGTCATGAAGTGGAGGGCCTGGAAGGGGATGTTCATGGTGAGTTGGGTGGTGTAACTTCGGTAAAAGGCGGCCGGGCCTTCGCGTCGCAGCAGAGATGAGATACAGTGAAGGACCCCGCGGTACGGAGAGTTAAACATCTGCATGCGCTGTTTTACCACTGCAACACAGAGGGGGTGGGTTAGAACAAGTATCAGCAAATCAGAGCCTTGTAAATAATGATGTGATTAAACAAAAAATAGGCCTATAAACCAAGAATTAACCCATTTTGATTTTGGGATATCGCAATTTTCAATTTAAACACATTTGCTATTTTTATTTATTTATTTATTTTTTTTTACAATTTTAACATGTTCAGGAGGAGTAAAATTGAGACTATTGATAAATAAACAGCTAAAATAAACTATAACTATATATAAACTACAGGGAGTAGTAGTTTTTTTACACAAAAAATATTTTGTTGTTTGCAGAAATTATGCTGCTTAAATGATTATCATCTTCAGATAAAAATTTCATGTGATTCTTGTACTGCGCTTCTCAGTTTTCCTTTATGTCTCAAAGATCTCAGTGCAGTTGAACAGAAGGACTGCTCATGTAGGGTCATCATTTGCCAACTGAAACAGCTCAATAAGTTGATGTAGTTTTATTTGTTTAAAGCTACCATCTGTATATTTATTTGCTTTTGTTACTAGTAGTTGGAAAATTTGATATCTGCTCCCTCTTCCCCTCATTTGGCCTTTCTTTGGGCTCACATTTGTCTCTGGTTTTCTCTCAGGCCAAACTTGAAACACTATCAGACTGCAGTAAAGCGGATAGCAGGTAGGTGATATGTGAGAATACAATAGGAGTAGGCTGGCCGATCTAATTATAGATGGTAGCTTTAAAGGACTAAAACAGCATTAAAATGAATGAGAAAAGACAAAAAACAAGCATAATCACTTGGAGATTACACCAGGATTAAACTTTGGGTTTTCTGAGGAATTTCTGAAAAAAATGTTCCCTGATTTTTGCCTTTCCAGCCTTTCCAAATGTGTAAATTGTTAAACAGCAGACACAGTTTCTTGTTTACCTTCAGCAGGATTCATGATGGCATCATGGATCACTGTGGCCATGCATCCTGCCACTCCTGCAGGGAAAACACAAACAGTTTGTACAAGAATCACAAACATGTTTAGAGGCTCTAAACTACAGGATTAGCAGAATTAATACGTCGTATTATGTCACAGACCCTTAACAAACCCAAACAACAAATGCAGTCTAACACAATATCTTCTGTGACAGATATTCCTGATTAATTTCGAAAAACTATTGGTATAACAATGCTAAAATGTTAAACTTGACAGTTGTTTCTTTAATATGTCCACATTGCCTTAGTTCTGAGAGAGAATTACAAAAATATAGTAAAAAAAAGTTGTTTTTTGAATTGTAATTTCAGTAATACTTGCTTAAATGAGTTTAGTTTCAATTTGAGTATTTATATTTAGGCATATATTTTTTAAACAACCCTACACATAACACTGTGCTTTTTAGTAAAGTAAACTATAAGGTTTGTGGTGAGTTTTACCGTTAGCAAAGTGGCTGTTAGCTCCAGGGTGGATGGCGTCGCTGAGTCTGAACTTGATTTTCTCGTAACAGGCGAAGTAGAGCGCGTGTGCAGGGCCCGCCCCCACAGCCAAAACATTGACGCCTCGGATGGGCCGCCACACACCCTCTGTCTGAATAATCTGCCGCAGTGCATCCATCACGTTACGATACCGCGCTCCTGGCTCAGGGTGGAGACTCTGCATTCGAGTCTGTAAACAGAAGAGGAGACTTTTAGGATGTAGTTTATTTGATGGGTATCTGTATGAATGGAAAGTGTTTAGGATCTGAAAAGTTGTGTAACATTCCAGTCAACAACAAAAAAAAAAAAACCCAGAGACAAGCAGATGACATACCAGCAACCACAAAAGTTACATAGTACACCTTTAAAGAACATTTCAGATGAGTCCCCAGCACTTGCCTTCCTTCTACAGTCTGTTTGAATCCACAGAGCATGAAAAACCTCAGTCCAAATGTGGAATGATTCAACCAAATCTCTTTCAAATGCAAAAGACATTTCCTCTTGTATCAGTCAGAACATCATAACTTCTTTTATGCGAGTTAATTAACAGTTTGGTGATTTGATTAATTCTACAGAAATCTGCAGAAATCTGCACTGTTTCTCAGTCCTCTCTACACTGTTTTTTCATATCTCTGGTTGGCTAAGCCACCTGCCAATCACACCTTTCAGAATCAGGGCGGTAGGATATAGCTACAGATCCACTCCTCTTTGTAAAGTTTTGTCAAAGCGTGTGGTTCTGGTTGGTCAGGTAAGCTGGGAGTTGCCCTGTGGCACCCACTGCACCTGACAGGTTGGCCATGAAGGCTAAATTTCCCTGGTGTATGGGGGCAATAATCAATCTGAATGGATGCAAATAGCAAATTCTGCAATTTTTTAAGTGCCATAATTTCCACCACAAACAAAATATCCTGTTTTATTCTGCTTAAAAACTGCTAACCCTGTAGTTTAGATCTTTACAGACATGTTCTGATTAGTTTGTCAATTCATATTTCTTTGTCTTTTTGTCAATGAGTTTAAAAATGGAACTTTGAACAGAATCTTATTGAAGACAGAAATTAAATCAAAATTGCAATGATTGTCAGAAAAACTGCAATAAGATATTTTTCTCAAACGGTTTAGTCCTAACCTTTCAGGACACCTTCAGGACACCTTCAGGACAACATGCTCATCTCTGAGTTGTAAAGAATGGAGCAAAATAAAATAAATAAAAAAAACCTGTGTCTTTATAAAGTAATGGCAAAGAATAAATTCAATTTGCAAAATGAATTTGACTAAAATAAACTTTGCCAATCTCCTTTGCCATGGATTCTACATGGACGACTGAGGGATTTTACACGCATGTATAAAATAACCTCATTGATTTAACTGTACTTCAACAGTAGAGGGCAACAATGAGACTACAGTTTGACTATGGAAGTATGTTCTGTTACAGATATGGAGAATACACTGTATAAACAGAAATGACCAAATATTTCTGAAATGTTAAATATTTACACTGCCTCAAACCGGAGTCTGCTGAAAAAAGCCCAGTCATTCTGATGTGAATAAAACAAGGCTGTTTTCAATGGAACTGAACAAAAGAGAACATTTGGACCCAAACACAAAAAGCATTGTTTTTGTGATGCAACAGTGTTCCTGGTCAAGTGAAAATTATGACGCAGTAGGTTTTTCCTACAGTTTTATACAAAACAAATATTATAAACATCTGAGTTTAATGGCCTTACATAATACACTATTGAAACTTTTTTAAACCGTAACTTTGGCATTTATGTTACAGATTATAATTACGTATTTGTGCAAGATGAAAAACAAGAAAAAGTGATTCTTCAAAGTGCATACAAAACACCACTGTAGCCAGCAGAAGAACCCAAGGATTTTGTGTAAATGAGGCTAAAGGCTGGGCAATTACCAGTAAATTGATTTGATTAATTTGTGTTTTTATTTGAGATTTTGAAAACTGCAAAATTGTGAAATCCAAGACAATTAGGAGTTTACTCCTGACTTTCTTGCACGGCAATGCAGGGTTACTGTATAACTGAACAATTGCTATTGCAAAAAAAAATGTCATTCCAATTTAAACTATTAATATCAGATTGCATACAATTTTTTTAAAAGGATATGATAAGAATCAAAATGTAAAAAGCTTCCCCTGAAAGACTATCAGTCCCTGTTCTGCCTTCGATTAAAATTAAAATCGTTATCATCCAGAGTGCAAAAAAAAACTTTTAAGTCCATATTTCTCAGTCCAAGTTGACATATTTGTTTGTTTTTGATTTGTTTGAGTAATTCTTCTTTACTTCATATTCACTACAGGAGCAAATAAACCATCTTGTTTGAGGTGGTTGGGTTTTAATTTCTTTAGTAAAACAGGGGAATAGTTCCAAGTCACACAAACAGCAGCTGATGCAATGAGAGCCGCTCATGTGACAAACTAATCCCAGTGATCTTTATCTGAGAATACTGTTTTTGCCCTGAAAGCTTACAGTGGTAGTCATGGGGGGGGGGGGGGGGGGGGGTTAAGGTATCAGGTTAAGGTTAGGATTGGGTTAAGTTTAGGGGCTTTGGGGCATAAATCACTAGTCCTGCCCTGTAATTAAATGCCAAACATTTAGGAAGTCTCCCAGATGAGATGAATAAACATTTACAAAAGTGAGATGTTTTTGTGATCTTTACTACAACTTACCAAAGATTTTAAAATAGCAGAGTTCACAAATTTATGTTATCGGTATGGGTGAAGACTGATTTTCCAACAAGGCAGCAACACAAACAAAAAAAACCCCACAGCTGTTCTGGTGACTGTACCACTCGGTCACACATTACATTAAAGACTGGGTCTCCAATAGCTGGACCAGAGCTCTTCTCCCGAGGAGATCTGGTCCAGCCCCTGAGACCCCAACCCCAAACTGAATGGGGCTATTCAGATACATAAAACTAAAGCTAATGCAAAGGGCCAAAGTCCCTCATCAACTCTAGGTGTATTACCTAAAGCTGCTCCTTGTTAATGTGAGAGGTTTTGCATTTTGTTAAGCCAAACCTTCCATTAAGCATGCATGCGTGAAGCAAGTGGAAATTCTATTTGTATTTGTTTGTCTTGTGTATTTGTTTTAAATGTGTTTTAAATACACCATACAAATAATAAAAGCACATTTTAGGTTTTTAATGAATACAATTTTACAAAGTAATATTTTTATTCAATCAATAAAATGTGGCAGTTTGATCATGTGACTTAAGCCTTGCATTTCACAAGGCAGTAGAATTTAATAGCATTTCTCACATGTCGTGTTTGAAGAAGACAACTTACAACTTACTGGACGTACTATACAGCACAAAAGAAGGAGGCCAGAGCAAATTTAGTATGCAGCTATTCTGATGGGAAAGACAAGGAATGGAGTAAGAAAGAAAACCTGCTAGGCAGTAATGAAGTAGTACTACTGAAAGCTCTTTAATGATGCTGAAATAGTAAAACAATGTGCTGTTGATGTGGCTGAGGAGGTGTTGAGTTTCAATGGCAAAATGAGGAAAAGTGTTGTAGAATTATTACAGCAGGTAGGCAGGGTGTTTTATATATATAGCATGTAATTGTGTAAAGACAGATGTTTTTCACTGGTTATGTTTACAGTGCTGTTCTGGTGTCGTGCCGTTTTAATCTATTTTACAATTTGAGATTTTCCAACAAATACAGTGGTAACCGAAAAAGAAACATTGTATGCTTTTGATAAATGAAAATTTTAGTTAGTTGTTGTGGGATTTATCAGTTGTTGATTTTACCATTGTTTTTTGGCAAATAAAAACATTGTCTACTGGCAGATTTTTTGTGGACCCCAGTTTTGCAATGTGGAAATATTTTGGCCCTCAGAGAAATTTAATTAGAGACCCCTGCACTAGAGCTTTAATACATACCATCAACGTGAGTAGGAAAGTTTAGAAGTTTATTTTCAATGCTGTTTTGACAAATGAGGTTGGCAATATCCAGTCGTTTTTTTTGTTTTTTCTATTTCCAACTAACTAAACCTAACATGACAATGAAAATAAGCCACAGGACATTTAGCCATCTACAGCGCAAGATGAGATAAGGGGTAATTGATGCATGGAGAAAACAGGAGTAAAAACCACAAAGACTACATCATCGGTTGTCGTAATTGTTTGGTCATGTGACACAGGAACTTCACAAGTCCGACTTTTAACTTAACACCCCGTGAACTGAAGTTCACACCATAAAGCATATAAATAAGCTGACTGAGGGAGATGTCGCCCATAGTGTTCGGCTCAAGCTAGAGGTTATAAGAGAAAATTTGGAGCCAGGCTCCATATTAGGAATTAATTAACATACAAAATGTCGAAATAAAACAACAGGATCATGGAGAGTGGATTAATATAAACATTTTAAGACCAAAATGAGCTCACTGCAGCAGCTACAGAGACAGGGGTGATAATTTCTCAATGTAAAGTCAATTTTTGTTTATTTTTATTTCTGTTTTTGTAATATATCTGTAGTAGCAATATCACACTTCCAAAGGGGCAATTGTGACAAGACCAAATGTCAAGACTTTATAAACTTTTGATAGTGAATTATTAATCAGAATTTATAATGGGACTTTACAACTTGCATCATACTGATTATTTTGGTATTGCGTAAGTATGCCTTATGTAACTGGGTGTATTTTAACTGTAACACATAAAGAATAAAGAACTTGCGGAAATTATTTTCTTGTAAATTTTCTTGATGTATTTCCTTTACAGAGACAAAGACATCAGTTTAATCACAAGGAAGTCTAAGGATTTATCATCAGTCCATATGAAACAATAGCTCAGTTTTGCCAAGAATGTATTATGTAAATAGTCTAGTATGCAGCTAAACAAAGCAAATATGACATAGTCAAAACTATTAGAGCGGGAAGGACATTCATGAACTACTTATGTAGCATTTGAACACCTGCAGACAGAAAGTGCTGATCCAATCTGTATTATGTGGTTACTCATTTGTGGCACTTGGGCTGCCGTAACTAAAGTATTTTGGTAGCTGACTTTTTCAATTAGTGCATTATTTCTTTGCAGTCGACTAGTCATGATTTGTATATAGTAGTATGATATAGTATTTAATAGGGGTGGGCGATATATCGATATTTTAAATATATCGAGATAGTTTCTAAACTCGATATGAATTCTGACATATCGTATATATTGATATAATGCTTATATTCAATTTAGAATTCGCCGCTTCGCTTGTTTACCTTCTCTCTCGTCACTTCCGCGCGCCCCCGCCTCCCTGATTTTGTTCGTTCGTGTCTCCTTCGCTCCTCACTATCGCCTTGAACGCCGAAAGTTGGTGCCAGTGAAAAGCTTCAAGCACCACGAACCTTTTCCACCATTTACAGACAAGACCATCAGCAGCACATCCTCATATTCCACCGAGTCGCGTCCTTTAGCCCGAAAGAAGCTAAACGAGCTGAGCTGCGTGAGAAGTGCGCTGTTTATGGAGCCATGCGCTTAAGTTTCGTTTCTGTAAAACGTAAACACACGTGCGCAAAACTGCATTAAACACATTATAATGTCAAAATGGCTGATGTGGCTCTAGAGTCGTTGTGCTTTATATATTGTAAAGTTTAGTAATGTAAAGTTTATTTATGGAGAAGATTTTAATGAATAATCTGCTGCAGTGTCACTTGTCACTTGTCACTTGTGTTTGGAAACGTTGGGTTTGATCTGCAGTTGATTGTGGGAAACCTCAGAGCTCCTTACTGCTGGAACATGGATCTATTAAAATAAGGAACATCCTGAGTTTCTTCTGCTGAAGGAGGTCATGGTTCTGGTTCTGGTCTGGATAACAGAGTTAATGCAAAGATGAGCTTGTGTTGAGTTGTTTTATCTATGAATGAAAAGAAGGAAATATGTATTATTTATTTTATTTTACAGTTAAATTATTATTTATGTAATTAGGTTTTTTGTAATCTTAAATGTTCTTATATGAACTGCCGACCTCTTACACTTCAATAAAAAAAAGGACCTTGTGGAATTTGGCAGATTTGTTTTTGCAGTTTTCAGTTTTAGGGGATTATTTTTTCTTGAACATATATAGCGAGATATATATCATATATCGAGATATAGCAAAATATATCGAGATATATTTTTTGATCCATATCGCCCAGCCCTAGTATTTAAAATAAGGCAATAGGTAATCTGTAACCAAGTACTACGTACGTTTGAAAGAATTATGGACTTCCATCCAGTAGTAAAAATGTATAGGCAAAGGTGAAGTCCTTATCTGTAAACTGAAGCCATTTGACTGAAGATTAGATGACTAACCACTGACAAAGTATTGTAGATAATTCTTGCATAGCCCTATTTAAAATAACATTCAAAAGGTAGTCCAGATCAAGTTTTCATTTACACACTAACCTACTATACTTTTAAAAGTCAGCAAAATAGAAATCGGAAGTTAAAACTCAACGAAACCTTACTCAATGCGAGGATAACTTATGCAACTTTAATTTCAAATGGGACCTGTGACTCTTCATGAAAAGAAACGGAACTTATTTTAAGAAGGCATGGTGCAAAGACAGCTCCGCCAATGCTGACATTTCTATGGCTGTCTAGTAATTCAGGCATTCCATGTTTAACATGAAGCTGCTTATATGCCGTTTTCATGCACTGATCATAGTCTGACAAATACGACATAAAGTTAGATTTAAGTATATTCTTATTCTGAAATGACACACTTTATTTTATCTGGTTTCCGGTTGAGTTTATTTGTTAAATGACCTCTGATAGCAAGGTTATAGCTGATAGCATGTGGCTAACTCGAGCGCAGGATTCAGTAGAGGCCTAGTAAGAGCGCAGCGCCTGCCCAATCTGTGTCAAACATGCTAACAGGCTAACATTACAAACAAATCTACCACTAGTTAAGTCATAATACTTCACCAGTACAGTACACTTAGCATTACTTCTTATAGTTGCCATCTGTGATTGAGGTTATAATAAAAACGTTTAATACTCAGTTTAAACAGTAAATGCCAATGTAATCACACTCCCATCAAAACAAATATTATTGTCACTTTTTAATTATGCTACCCATTGTATCTTACATGATCGGTGCAGTATTTATGGATAACAAATTACACGGTTTCTAGTTTTTAAAGGCAAAATGATACAAAAAAGTTATAATGACACAAAAAAGTTATAATGACATTCGCGCATGTGTAGAGCACTTCGTGGGGCGAATGGGGTAACTTCCATGGTAACATATCTGGTAGTGACAGCTAATGGTCATTTTGACATTAACAAGGTACAAAAATAGTTAAAATACACGATGTGCGTTGCAAAACATATACAAACATTAAATAATTCTACAGCTATATGACAGGAATTGAAAAAGTCTGTGTTAACATTTGAATTACTGTGATAAATACCTTGACACAGTCGATGGGGTACATCAGGCAGTGCTCCATGATTCCAGCCACGGCTCCTGCCAGCATATGGGTGCTAGTGGCTGCTCCCTGGGGCAAGCCTTCATAGTCTATTTCAGTATCCAAGGATGTCGAGTTTTCCATCGGCATGGCTCGATGGACTACCGCCGGAGCAAAGTCCGGTTCCAGTCTGGGTGTCGTAAAAGGCAATGCTCCGCGAAACCCTCCAGTAGCGTCCAGAATCCTGCCGCCCAGCCATCGGATCTCTCGGCCGTCGACTCCCGAGGCTTCGACGGGCGCTCGCCGGGCCACAAAACCGTCCGCTTCCATTCAAAAACAGTCCGAGGATACGCGGAGGTAGTGTCCCAGCCGGCCCGCGGAGGTCTTGGCGGGTGAAGGACTGCTACAACGCGGTGAAGCTAGAGCCGGGGGAGGGCTGAGTTCAGCGGTGAGCCATACTAAAGGCTGATTGGCCATAATTCCTGTCTTTCATTTTTCCTGTAATATCATTGGTTAAGATTCATTCACGGAGGGGCGCGTTTTAAAGGAGCCGGAGAGTTATAAAACTGCACTTTCGCAACTTTGGGGAATCACATGGGAAATTCTGACGGGAAGATTACAATGGGATGATTTGTAAATGGGAAGCCTGTGTTGAAATAAAAGCAAAGCGAACAGAACACCTATAGAGTATTGTTTATAGCCAGGCCTCAACTAGAAAGTCAAGTATCAATCTCTTGAGTAGCATTATAACTACATGTATCCACTGTTAACATGTGGAATTGCAAAGAATGGATTTTTTTTGTCACTAAAGTCAGTGAGTTGCTAGTTGTTAGCGTCACTATTATTATTTAGCCTAAAAGAGATAACTACACATCGGACAACCTCACTCCGAAGTATCAATAGAGCTCCTACTGTTGACGTCACGCAATCCCAGCATGCACCTCCAAATCCCATGCTGGCAGTGGTCGTGGCCCCTTTTTCTAGAGTCAAAAACAGCTGTTTCATAAGGTTTCTGTCTCGCAAATCACCTGTCTTTGTGTTGATTTTCTGTATTATATTACATATGGTTTAAAGCCAGGTGTCAAATAGTATAATATATAGTCAAATGGTAAAATATAGGGATTGGGCTCATTGTTGTTACACCAAAAAATGCACTTTATTTAAGAAGATCTCTTGTATTCTGATGACACTCTGGTACAGTAGAATATTCGTGAGTCCATTACATAGATCTAGAGATTAGAGAGTAGTTTGTAAAAGTCCTGTAAGCAAGTATAAACTTTAGTCTTTTGTAGAGTTTGTTAATTGGTGAAGAGAAAATATCAATTTACCTATGACCTGCTTAAGACACGAAGTGTCATTGCTGCTTTAATTATAATCAATACAACTAACACCATATTACATATTGAAAGAGTTTCATGACCAAATAATACTGGCACAACTGTTATCTTATTAGCCATTTTATTTAGGTCCTGCACCAGAGTAACAGTAAACAGTAAATACTACTGAGAATGAAAGGAAAAGCACAGAGTTTAGTTTTTCCTCAATTCTCCAAAAGCATGTTTTACCATCAAAACTCTCATCATATGTTTTTCTGTGCTCCTTTGTTCATTTACCAATACAGCTCAGAAGATTTAGTCCTGCTCTCTGTGACTATAGAACAATTTGATACAGTCCAACACTGGGATTCAGACTTGACACAGATGAATTTGGAGTGAAAAATATATAGAAAAATATATGAAATGAATAAATAAATAAATACATACATACATAAATAAAACTACATAACCAATTGCAGAATAGATTTTGCAGTATTTAATCAAAATATTCATCAATACTATTTTTGTACTGTGAAATGTAATGTGCTCTTGAAAATGAAATAAGGACTGTATGTCTCTTAAAATCTATACAAATACTCAGTGTCTGTACTCACTGGTGTGACCCTTCTCCCTGTTTGGCCCACCTGTGAAATCCTTTCCTATTACATTTTTGGTGTACACAAATTTTGATTTGCCGTTATGTTTGAGTTTCTATATTGAAAGAGTTTGGGCCACAGTCATTTACCACATGAGAACAGACCTGTAGTGTTGAAAAACAAGCTGAATTCACTGATCATGTGTGTCTGTGAATGAGAGATGTGTCAAGTGTTCTGGGAAAGAGCCAGAGAACTGTGTAAACTGATGAGAAATGACCACCTGTGCCCCTGTTCAGATACATGTTTGAATTGAATGACCAAACTGAACAAAGTTTTATTTGATTTAATTTAACTTAATTTTAATTTTTTTTTTTTAGTGTGCTAAAATAATGGAAGGAAAAAAAAGTAATGGAGCAGATGAATGGGTGTAGACTGCTGCATGTAGCATTTGACCAACTTCTGGATTCTGGACACAAGGGAAAAAAGTATAAATATTAAAGTTAGTGTATGCTAGTAAAAACTGCATGTATTGCTTGGTTTCAGATGACATCACAACATTCTGTAGACCAGTATTATTTAATACAGATGGGAGGCAGCTAAAATGCAGATAAAATGTTATCTTGTACTGACGTCAGTTAGTATGTGTTGTAAATAATACTATATCAGGTTTGTAACAGACAGCCACTTATATGTAACCCACTCAAGCACCTTCACCCTTCACTTACTACACTTTAATTGAGACACTTTTGATAGCACATAGCACTTTGCACATATAAAACTACATTGCAGGTTTTACAAGAGTTTTTTTATATCTTTGTTAAAAGAATGGGAAACAGGATGGGTGTTTTATTGGTTTGTGGATTTTAAAGTTTATAGTATTGTTTATAGTTTGGGTTTTTAATAGTTTGTTGTTTTTTGTTTTGCTTTATGGAGTGCTTTAAGTTCATATTTTAAAAAGTGCTTTTGAGTGCTTTGAAGGCTAAGTAAAATGTGGCCATTTAGCATTTATTTTAAAGCTAATGTTAATTTACCATTCCTGGTTAGCTTGTAGTTTTAACCAGATCAGATAAAGGCTCATCCCATCACTCTGTGTTCTGCTGCTGGAGAAGAAACTCACGCGACTTCTGTCTTGCTCTTAGCACTTTTTGCACATGCACTTTGTAAACTACTGAATTGCAAAAAAAAAAAAGGAAAAAAAAGGTTTTAAAAAATGTGGACCATAGCTTCCTGCCATTGTCTGAGTTTTTACCTTTCTCACTGAGCTCCACACCAAAAGGTAAAATCTACAGGTTACCTTTTTTAAATGAAGATGGAAATTTGGTCATTCTAATTGTCAATGCTTGGTCGTTGTAATGAAGAGGTTCACAGCCAATCCCATGTGTTAATTAAATCATGTGGTTTGGAGTTTGGATTTTAGAGGAACAAATGCCACTACATTCTATTTTGCTCATGTTCAGGAAATTCATATTGAAACTGGAAACTACCACTATCGACTTAACCAGGAAAGTCCCAGTGAGGTTCTGAGTCTCAGACAGAGGCAACACACAACCTGGAGCATGCACACCCATCCCCACAAATGCCCCACCAAGTCTAGGATTCGAACCTGGGCCCTTCAGGCAGTGAGGCAGTTTGTGTCACTTACATCTGCGTTGTTCCAGGTGTACCTCATGTTCATAAACAGGTAGCAGTTTTCCTGATACACATGCCTTCTCTGAAGACAGTTTGGATTTGGATGAACTGCACCTGAGGAGAAACAAACATACAAGGTTAAAAAGGTGATTCTTCATGATGCTTCTGCAGAATGAAATATATGAGTTTGATGACACCTCAAGGTCAAATGAAAATGCAGATATTGTGAGAGTTCAATGACACAAAGGCTTTAGATTTATCTAGATTTTAGCCTTCATTATGTCCTTCCTTGCATTCTGATATTTGACAGCAACTAATATAGTGACATATACTGTGAAATCTTAAAAGAATTATTTGGCTAAAGGTTTGTATTTATAAGTTATCATTGCTATCTTCACTGCATGTCTCCTTATTACAAAAATGTATCATTTGTATACAGTTCTTTATATGGGCTATTGTGTATTGAATGCACTTCTAATCTATAAGAATAACAATCACTTAAACACCACATTCAAACTAGGAAGGTGGGTGATGTGCCTTGCCCATGAACACAACAACAGGGTAAAAAGATGGTGTAATCTTTATGTAACTAATAATCATATTTCTCCATGCAGCCCACTCTCTCTCAATCACTGAACATGTTTGAGTAGATATTTCTGTTTTAACCTGTACACTGGGAGCAGGAGCCTGTCCATTTGACTATAAATGGTGCACTGTCACCAGTTGTTTTTACTGCTTCTAAGGCAAGAGAACATTAATGCTGTTTTTTATTACCTAAAAATATGAGATAATAAATGAGATTCTTATCTTGTACAGATGGTTCAAAGTAGTATGCTTCTTTGGTCAACAAATTTTCACTTAAAATAACAAAAGTGCAAAAAGTACTGTATATCCTATATAAGTCTAATTAAAAGCTTTCAGACGATACAATAAACAGTAAATAAATAGCTAAAATCATGGTAATTGTTACATAAAATAAATCATTTGAATAATAACCTAATAGAAAAAAATGAGATATTTTCAAATATCACAGACCTGGGGCAGAGACTTTGAAGACTTCGTCTTGGTCACCAGCATATACAGGAACAGCTAAAGGGATAACATAATATTTGCTGATTTTAGAATAAGCTACGTATACACCAACCAGTGTCCCTATCCCTCAATGAGAAATATAGACTGCCCAGACCATAGGGAGCAGTAAATTCAGCTGCACAATTATTAAATTGTCCTCTTACTGCTCTCTAGTGGCGGAGTTAGCATCTCACAACGGAATAGACTAGACTCTGACCAGTGATAGATGTAGACTCAGTGTTAAAGGTGCACTGCGCAACTTTTCTAGCTGAGGTTACACTACTGTGTGTTATCACTTTGATATGAATCTGAACAGCAGCACAAGTGGTCACATTATTGGCAACATTTCTGATCAGTTCAGAAGGTTCTCAGGTTCTTGAACACAGTTCACTTTGTTTGTTCAGTACAGCTCTGTTCTCTCATGCTAAAGGACTTTGGATCAAAATCTCTCCCATTCAGTATAGAAATTCAAAGATAAAGGCAACTTCTGCATACACACTGAGATGTGTAATGTCTTGTTTCATTTTCAGTCATCACATATTACAGTACAAATGCAGTGTTGTTGTGTCTTTCAACTTTATTCAGCTTAAATGTTTTTGATCAAATACTGCAAAATCTACTTTGCAGTTGGTAGTGGTACCTGTATATTATATATACAGTATACACAGATGTAAAACTAAAAAGCAAAGCTTTTACAGACCAAAATTCCTCTGTGTAAACCAGAGACTAAACCACTAAACCAGTGATTCTCTGTAGTCACTGAGAGCAGATCTAAAACTTCTGAGCTGCTCTGTCAAATTAAAGA